GTTGAGTGGGTACTTGGAGGAGGGATAAACGTTTCCCGGGACCCGCCAAGTGCCAGGTACCCGATTTATACAGTTTCTCATTTAACTTTCCAAACGGCCCACTGAGAACGTTCATATCCTCAATAAATAGATGAAGAAAGTGAGATTTAAATTTTAAGTGAAGGTGGCAAGTTTGTCCTGATCTGTCTGGCTTCAAAACCTACGTCCTAAGTACAGCCAGCTTGTTCTTTTAGGGTGAAGGAGTCGTTTCTGAGCACCCCTAGTCTTTCAACACCACAGGTTCTCCCCAGTAATTAAACATTTAGATGGCAGTTTCACACGTTTCCTGGTTGGGTCTGAGTTTGCTACCGCTCATGGTCTCTGGGTGAAAGAGACCAGGCACTGAGGCCCTCACCCAGGGTCAGCTCAGTTCAAATCTCTTGGGACCGTAGGAGCCAGGACTTCTGGTTTATCAGTAGTGGAATGATACGGGAGTTCACACAATCCCAATGGATGGTGATGGACACAACTTGATGACTGTCTCCGCTATCAACCCACCCCTGGAGGTGCCAATTTGGTAGGTACAGGGAGGAACTCAAGGAGCTGAAGTGATTCTGATGCTCCATTCGCCCGGAGCAGGGACAGAGAGTCCACAGGCAGTACAGCAGCAGAGGCTGAGCGAGGGGAAGGGCGACTGACCGAAGACGCTGCAGCCCCTCCCCGCCAATCCCTGGGCGGCAGCAGCTCTTTGAGCCTGTTTTATATCCAAGGGTTCCATGACCATGGAAAAGGGGTTCTTATGCTAAAATAATGTGCCCAAACAGCTGCTGTAATTACAAGAAACTCTTCACACAAAAAAGAAAAACAATACTGGCTGCAAGAAGATTGTTTAGAAGTGGCCAACTTCTGCCTGGTCTTCCCTCCCGCTTTGAGACTGAGAAATGAGCTGCCCTGAAGACCTGAAAATGAAGTTGGCATTAAGTCAGGGCACCATGTACCGCTATTTGTGAGGAAACATAAGGCCAGAAAGAGAATAATGAGATATAGGTGAGGCAGAAGGAATAGCACAGGGGTGAGTTAAGCTAGGCATGAATGGAAGTATCTGCTGCATAATTAAAATATAAAGGGAAGTTCAGAAAATTCATCTTTGGTACCTAGGTAAGATTGGGGACATATTAAAATTGTGTGTGTGTGTGTGCGCGTGTGCAACGGTCATTCTTTCCAAAGACAGTGAGCCACTCAGCCCCACTCCAGCACTAAGATTGTCCCCCTCCCCACCCTAGGAAGTCAGTGGTATGTGCCGTTGGCAGAAGGTGTGCTCAGCATGTAGGTACAGATGTGATGGCGAAGACACATCAGAGGGTGCCACCCAGATCTGGAGGACAGCTGTCAATGTCAAACCTCCCAAGGAGAATTCAGGTGCCAAGCTTCTCCTAAGAGGATTTGAAGAGCATCAGGAGTCTAATCTAAGCCAATATCTAAAGATTTTGAAAATGTGGCTTTTAGTGGAGGGCAGGGTAAGAGGCAAGATTCTATTTGCTAACCTTAATTCCTTATTTGACTCTCTCCAAGGTAATTGATAATATTTGGCTCTGTGTAATCCCCTCCCTCACACTAGACAGAGGTTCCTGATCCTGTCAGTCCTACAGTAATATGTGGCTCTCACTCAATGCTTGTCGTGTTTTGCCCTGGAGGTAACTCCATGTCATCAGGAGGGGATGATGGACAGAAACATATATAAACACACACTTGCTTTCAAAAGTAAATATAGGGCTTCTAAGAGGTGCTGTGCAAGGTAAGCAAGCATCCTCTCTCCTGCAAAGCGAGCACACAACTCTCATTAACCTTGTAACCACAGCCTGGGTTGGTAACAAGATTCAGACCCTTTAGGGCTTGATACTTGGCTTAGAGTGATTCTTTGTCTTGGCCTTGATCTGGGAATTAAGGTCCCTAGGCTTCTTTGGTTCTGCGAAGTATATCTTCTAGTAGAAAATGCAGCCAAAAGCGGGGTCCCCGGGCTACTGCCCACACCTCATCTGGTTTGCTCCGCCCCCTTTTCCTCCATGGGAACCAGCATCGAGACTCCAGTGATAGGGCCTTGACCTGTGCAGAAGACCAGGAAGATTTCCATGCAGGGCAATTGGGTCTGTATAGGTGGTTGCTGTTCCCAGTGTTACCTTGATCTTGGCCTGAGGGCAAGCTGTTCTGCCTGCTTTCTTGAGTTTTCCTTCCATGAAACCTAGGCAATTAGCTTTGTCTCATCACTAGACTTTCCTTCCCTGTGTCTTCATCAGTCTCCCAGAGAATCCTGGGATCCTAAAAAAGGCAATTAATTCTAGGATGGGAAGTCTGACCTGATAGTGAAGTTCTTGCCTGATTCCTACTCAGGAAGGTTTTGACTTTTAGGAAACTAACAATGTGTTCTTATAAAGGCTCTGGTATGTTTGATACTTTTGTGGTTATACTTTTAACTTCTTATCCACGAGAGACATGCTAGACTTTTGCAATAGAAGGCCTCAGTGTCAAATACAACTTTTAGCATTGTCAGTTGGATTCAGAACTTTTCCTTCTTTCTCTCTTTCTTTCTCTTTCTCTCTTTCTCTCTTTCTCTCTTTCTTTCTTTCTTTCTTTCTTTCTTTCTTTCTTTCTTTCTTTCTTTCTTATCTATCTATCTATCTATCTATCATCTATCTATCTATCTATCTATCTATCTATCTATCTATCTATCTATCTATCTATCTATTAAATCATCTGTCTGTCTGTATGTCTCTATCATCTGTCTTTGATGCAAGTGCTGTCTTGTTGCAGTTGACCATAGGGTAAAAACCTCATGCATTCATGCTCCAAAGGAATTTCTCTATGCAAGTGACATGTCTAAAAATGTGTTTTTTTGGGGTTGGGGGTATTGTTTTTATTTTTCTTCTGGGAGATTCAACTAAGCCCCAAGTAAAGAAGTAAACCAATAGTAAGTACCAGACACATTGTTGAATACTTTATATACATACAAACTCCACAAATACAGTGCCTTGTGACTATCAGGCGACATCTTTCCATCCCCTCTCATCGCCACCATCCCAAGATAACTCTCCTCAAGAGGGTCTTCATGGAGCCGTCCTCTGTTCTAAAATGCGTAGGATCAGATGCATAAAAACATGGAGATGTAACTGGAACTTTTCAGCCAGAAAATAAAGGGCTTATAATTAAAGGTGGTTGGCACTGGCCCAGAGAGTAACGTCACTTGTGGAGTTGCTTTTGAAGTTCTCCACCTCTTGACCACACAACCCCATCCACTTTCCCGCTGTCCCCTCTGCTGTCTTCAGGTTACTCCCAGTCAAAGTGTAAAGGAGACCCACTGACACTAATAATATACCCTGCTCCCCAACACACACACGCATGTATATACACACACACACTTACATCCCTGTAGTGGGTGGAGTTGCTACTCCTGATTCATCCTCTAGCAAAAAAAAAAAAATTCACCAGGCTGTTCCTTTAGGGCTTTGCTCTCAGATCTGGAGCTGATAGACTAATTGGGGCTAATGTGATAATGGGCAATAATGCCATGTGCTGTTTCTATCAGACATTTACATTTTAACAAGGCCCTTGGCAAATACATGACTGAAGAGAGGGCACGGTGGGTACTGTTTAGTGAAGGCAGAGAGGCTGAGGGGCTTTTCAGAAACTCCTCAAGTTATACTCCCAAACCTTAAAAACCTTCGACACCTGCCTGAGTTCCAGGACCCGACCAAACCCACCCTGCCCTCCTACCAAGTCTTCTCCACCTTCAGACACATGGTGCTCACGCTGCACAAACGAGGCGAACCAGTGAGCACGGAACTATCACCACTCACGCACCCTAACCTGCCGGCGTCGCCTTCTGTTCCAGTCAGCCTTTGCCCAGATACAGACTTTTCTTTTTCACAGAAGGAACTTCTTGGTTTTAATCACAGAATCTTTGTTTCTTTGCCAAAACTCAACTTCCCTTTCCTCTCCCACAGAGGGGTGGCCTGGTGAGTTAAAAAAAAAAAAATCTGCTCGGACGCTTAGCTCATGCCAGGCCAGTGGCCAGAAAAATCGGAGAGAAAGTTAATGGTTAGGGGAGGGAGCATTCCTTGCCAGGAACAGTCCCTCACCTGTGTGGGTGGGTGTGCTCTGGTGACCCAGCGAAGCAGGCCTTGTCCCCAGGGGATGGCATTGCAAATCCATGGAGCCTCCCCAGGGGGGCGCCTGCCCAAACTGTGTTGTTTTATTTCTGGTTTCAGCACCTTGATATTTTCCTCTGTGGCTCCTATAGGGAGTGTCAATAAATAGTTAAAAAGACCACGTAAGTCCAAGAGGAAGTAAAGAACCTGAATAATCCGATAGTGAGTTGTTCCACCTGAAGGACTCAGAGAGGATCCTCTTTCCTGGGACCCTCCCATTTAACTTTCTCCCAAGGCTCTTACCTGGGGCCAGGGCAGACTGGCTTTTCAAAGCCCATTGCACTTACCAAGGGCCACTGTCAAACGGGATTGTGGTGCCTGACACGAGAGCCTGTGTTGTATGTGGGCCACCTGGCCGAGAGCCCCTTCTGAACCTGGTACTGCAAAGCCAGGGCAAAGGTCCTGATGCCAAAGCAGAGGGGACTAAATACGGGATAGTACACGAGACAGCTCTCACGCCCCGGATGGTGTCTTTGGGGCGCACACACGTACTTCTCGCCTGAAACAGCCTCTAAGCTGAAAAGCAGTCACCACCAAATCAATTCCTCATCCATTAATAGGTTGTCTCTCTGTGCCTGAGACACAGGCATAACCTGGTTAGACCTGTTTTGTTTGAACACTAACGTGTGAGTTGGCCGAATGCAAATGAGCCAATGTTTGTAATCCTTTATTTTATTTTTTTAAAGGGCCCGGCAGCCAATCAGGAGAGGGGGAAGTGACTTAGGGAATTCCCGGTTGGTGGCTTATTGCTTAACATCCTACAAAATGATTTAAAATTATTGTCATATGCATTTATCTTCACTCTGATGAGGGCTCAGACGTGGTAACACCCCGGCTCCCCATCCCCGTAGGAGCTGCGAGAGGGCTGCCTGCTGCCTCCCTCCATTAGCAACAGCGACTGGATTTCCCACCCAGAATCTTTAGTAGATGAGGTAAGTCCTTATTTTTAAACCTTCTTTTGAATCTGGAATTCAACCACCTGAGAGGAGAGAGAAGCCTGCCTTGAGTCAGACGAAACCAAAACAGGCTCCGGGGGCAGCAGGCAGGAAGGCGGCTGCCTCACCTGTGCTTCCCTGGCTGGGTCCTCACAGGATTGTCTTTGGGGGCCAGCTGGGCTACCTGGGATGTTCTCTGTGAATTCCCTGCACTGAGTCTGCACTTCCAGTCACCGTGAGCCTCAAGTCCCTGGTGTCCCTCTGTCTGTGTGGCAAAGCCATTTCCCTGGGTTGAATTCTGAACCCAAGAGGGAGCCAGCTCGGTGAAGAAGTGGCTGCCTCGAGAGTTGTTTCGGCTCATGTCCTCATCTCTAGACATGTCTTCTGTTGGTAATTTTCTGACTCGGTTGCAGGGAAAGGCAGTCATTTTTAGTGTATTCCAGTGTTGAAAAATGGCTGGAAATAAGCAAGGACGTTCGCATCCACGCCGAACAAGTGGTCAGGCAGCCCAGTAGGCAAGGGCCCTGGGAGGTCTGCACACCCAAACATCACTTTGTCCAGAAAAAAAAAAAACACACACACAAAAAAACAAATTTTGGCAAAGAGTTTTACCATATCTCAAGGTGACAAAATAACCTTTTGTTTGTTCCGTAATGGGCTAGTATGACCACACGGGCCAACGTGAGTCAGCAGCACCAAAAGCCTTCTACGTCTGGGACTCTTTTGATTCTGTGTGGACACCATAGAGAAATACTGGCACAGGGTAGATACCCCTGGGAACAGCGGAGACTGAATCCTGTTGGTGAATAACAACACCAAGTCAGGAAAGAAACATTTTTGCCATCTGTCTTTGCCAAGATTTCATCTTCTCCAGTATTGGGGAGCATGTGTCTTTGTAAGATGAAGCACATGATTCGGTGAGTCTAAGCGCCCAGGTGTCTCTGCTGGTTATGTACCTTAGTAGCAGGTAGAAAGTGAGTACTTGGATTCTGAGAACTTGCCGATGGGAGATCTACTTCAGGAGTAGATTCTGTACACGTGAGTCTGAGGTTGTGTTCAGATAGACTCTTTCCATGTACGGACAAGTAGCTGGGGATCATGAGTGGCCGTGTGCTCTCAGAGGTCAAGGGAAGAGCCAACGTCCGACAGGTGAGATGAAGTCGTATTATTAGGATGAACTGTATGGATAAACAATAGCATTGGCACTTAAGAGATTTTTAAGAGTGACATTAATAACTGCATTTGGAGTTTGAGGACAGCCCCTCTTGTCCTCTTTTGGAGACCTAGAATTCTGAGATTATCAGATAACTCATTAATTCCATTTTTAATCTGAAGTCCTGTGGGATCATGTTGCCGCCACACCAGTCGCTAATGGCTGATGTGGAGAGATATTACAAGCAACGATGAAACGCGAAATGAAGAAATTTGTTATCACATCTGAAAAACTAAATGAAATGAAGACAATCCCCTTCCATGTTTCCAAAGTATCTGCGAAAGGTGTTGTACGAGTGACTTTGAGGGGACGACCACGCTGTAGGTTTTCCTGTGTTACTGTTCAGGAGGGTAGTGTAGTCAGGGCCTTCTCTGGGTGGCTGTGGGCAGGCAATGCCTTCGATCCAGGTGCCACATGGACAGAAGGTCTCAGGTCCAAATATAGATTTCCTTTTGTGTCAATAAGCACCTCTTTGTTAAATCCAAACAACCGTTTCTTCACTGTTTTATTTATTTTTAAAAGTATATTGTGAGTTCCCCCAAATGGAAATACCTTGGGCCCTTCTGGACCTCAGAGAAGTCTTGTACCTTCACACCTGTGATTCCATGTCAACGCTCCCATTAAATGTATCATCTTGACCCAGATCCTCTTTCAATATCGTTTTGACTCTTTGTGAGGCTGAGACACAAAATGAAAACTGAGAGGTTAAAACATTTACTCCGCTGCGTTCAATTAGCTAATTGGAAAGTGGAAGGGATTCATATCAAGTCTCAGGTCAGAATGGGAGTGCTTTGGGCCAAAGTCCCCTGCTGTGAAGTAGAATTTCGCTTTGATGAATCTTGTAATGTTTTATTTCCTCCTCCTCCTACCCCTCACCCCATTCGGGAGATTTTAGCACTCGACCATCTTGCTTTTTTGAAAGCCCAGTGTAAGAACCTTGTTCAATATTAAAGCACCAAGCACAGACATAGAGATTTATACAGGTCATTAAAAAAGTTATTTGGTCTCCCCCCCCCACCTCAGATGGAGTCATTTCTAAGTCCTTTCAAAGAGGCGTGATTTTCAAAGACCTCTGGATGGGGGGGAGGACCCAGAATGCCATGGCAGAACCTGCCAACACGCTTGAGAAGCAACACCACAGTTTTAAGGAACCAAATAGAACATTGGAACCTGATTTTTTGGTGACACTGTTTTGCTGTGTTTCAGCCCATTTCTCTTGTAAAAGGGCTTTCTGGTAGAATTAAAGTGACCATCATTTCTGTTGTGGGTGGGGCCCTGGTTGGGAGACATTGGATCCACTGCAGGCTTGGTGTTTAGACCACGTGTTCTCACCCTGCTTGGTCACTGGGTAACTGACTCTGTGGTGGGGGTTGTTGTCTGCAGACAGAGGCAGAATGGCAGCCATATATATATATATATACTTTAAAAAAAATTATTTTTTCCTTTATTGATTTTAGAGAGAGAGAGAGAGAAACAGCTATGAGAGAGAACATCGATTGCCGCCTCCTGCATGCCACCGCCTGGGAATTGGGCCCACAACCCGGGCCTGTGCCCTGACCAGGAATCGAACCGGCAACCTCTTGGTGCATGGGTCGACGCTCAACTATTGAGCCACACAGGCTGGACGGCAGCCATATATTGCCAGGATTCTCTTCAATCTGTTGAATAACCGCAGGGATGGGAAAGATAAACTCTATTTAAGGTTTTCTTATTTAATTTCTAATAATAAGATTTAAAGTACTATGATTTGTCCGAAGGAGCAAGCCACTGTGCTCTTATTAGAAACACGTGACCACTATGTTTGTTTAAACGGAACCGGGTTTTAAAGGGTCAGACTGTTAAGCAGGAAACCAAAGCATGGCAGGGAGAACGGCGCTCATGTCAGAATGGGGCACACGTTCACGCTGAACAACATCCATGTCAGGAAGCCGAGATGTGCTGGAGTAGACGTGTCCATGGATCCCTCAGGGTTACTTGATAAAAAATATATTGGACTTCAGAAGGGAAAAAAAAAAGGTATTTCTTTAAGACTTTTCCCGGAAGAACTTGGGATTCACCTTTTGAGCGACTGGAGCATGATGCAGACCAGGCAGTGTGCGGGGCAGCGCCTGGGACGGGCGGGCAAGAGACCTGGTTTTTAGCACCAGCAAAGCTACGTGCTCAGAGCAGCACCCTCCATTTCTCTGGGACTTAGTTTCCTCATCTGGACAAAGGAGTTCGAATCCGATTTTCAGTAAGATCCATTTCAACCCTCATTCTGACGACGGGGGAGAACCAGCTATGCCTGGACGCCAGCAGGTTTGCCTGGGGTCTGTGAAAGCCGAGAATGGGGTGGAAGAGGCCCTCCTAAGGATAAGACAGGAAAGAAACATCAGTAGGAGTCTTTAAGTGTCCTCCTTGGGGTCTTCAGAATTTTGGCTAAGGATATAGCTGGTGGAGGTACTGAGACCGGACACCCGGAGTCTACGAGGGGTGTTAGAGTCTGCTCCCATGACAACATCCATGTTTATTCCTTTGCCTCCTGTGTGCAAAGCTGGTGGGGGTGTAGAGGCAGCTGACTGTTCTGTGAGCAGGGAGCAGTAGGTGTACTTGAGCCGGCACTCCGATGGCGTCTTCCATAAAACACCAAAGCAGCCTGTTGAAAAGTGAACATTCAGACACTCATGGAGACAACTCGGTTTGCGCGGTGCTGATCAGCTCGCTCGAATGACTGTCCACAAATTCTTGGGTAGGCTGGATGAACAGGGACTTGCGTCTCCTAGGGGAAGACCCTATGGGTAGCAGAGGGGGAGCCTGATTGGCTGAGCCGCTGGGCAGCCAACCTGGAGACTCTGGGGTTCCCAGAGGGCCTCAGCCTGTGTCTGGAGTAATCAGACCTTGCAACAGGGTCAAGCAGGGTGGCCCATTTAAAGAGGCTCCCAGGGTTTTAATTGGCCCTGTTTTAAAAGAGATATCCTGTAAAAATACTCCTTTAAAAATTAATTTCACTAGCACCTAACCACACTCTGTCTTTAGTTTGTTTTACAGGGCTGGGCCCCTTGTTTTTACAGGGCTGGGCCCCTTGTTCCATTTCCTTAGATTCACATTATCTCCCCCCCAATCTTCGACCACACCCCGACCCACAGAGCCCCCTTTCCTTTCTTTCTCAGAAGCATCTTAATCATTGTTACAGGTATCTGCCTTTTTATTTAAAACATGGCCAGCACAGGTGCATTCAAAACATGCTTTCTGATAAAAACAAGGCCCAAAATATAAAGGCGCTCCAGTGCCTATTATAATACTTTGATTATTAAACTAATAGACCACTTTATTAACCCCATTATTTTCAACACAACTACTTATTTTTCCATTTGTATGACCTTGTCCAGATGGATACTTCCTGTGATATTGTTGTAATTGTGGTGAACTTAAAATTTCATAGTCTGCTACTTCCCCCTCTCTCTATATGACAGACACAAGATAAACACTCTTGGGGGTTGGCCCTCATTTACCCAATTGTGGATTTGAGAAATTTCTGTCCCCCCCCCCCCCCCAGCTCTTTCTCAGCCTGATGTAAACTTCTTCCAAAAGTCTGAATAGCCTTTCTTAGGATGTGAAGATGTTTTATTTTTTGCATATGACTATGGATCTTGGAGACTATGACTGTCCTGTAGAGATTATTTTGGGATCCCTCTTAGGAACCTTTTAAATAATTCCCTCAGTAGAGATACTGATATATTCTGGTGGTTCGGGTAAGTGGTCTGAAAGGTGAGGCTATTTTCAGCTTGTCTGCACGGTGACCACT